TACATAACACATGTCCTAACTACCTTAGTCGATGAAGACTAACCATCTGATCAACCGACTTGACATATTTAACCCGTAATTTAAGCCTAACCTCGATACCGCTGACTCAGTATTTCAAAAACATACGAGCTATCCATCAGATATTTCCCATGTTCATTCACCAGTGATAAAACAAACTACAGCTTTCCAAAGGAACAAAATTAAAAAACTGAATAGTTTTAACAGTGTACATGTTGTCATCTAACACAGCTGCATTGATTTATATATCCTAATGCTATGCAAGTGTTAAATAATTAAACAGAGAACTCGGTAGTAAAACTCCTTAACACAAATCAATTTGTCATTTTAACGAAGCAATACCTAGGATATTTGACTAATAAATTCATTGTTAGGTTTTATTGAAAGAAACAAGACCTCATACATAGATGATTGATGTTGGCTTGAAATATTCAAATAAATCCATACTACTTACAAGTAGTTTAAATTTTTATGTAAAATACTAAATGGGCAAAAAATTAGGGATAATTGTTGATGACACACATTTACAATTTAAGGACAGAGAACCTGATATTCAAGATTTTTACGGATAGTTTTGATCGAATACTGTCAAACTGAAATACTGAATATCCACTGAGTGCTGATAACATAGTAGGAACGATTCGAAACGTGTAAAACGATAACAACTTCCCCAAAATACTATAGTTAGTCTTTTTAAAAAAATTATCTAGTGGAAACCAAGATTTTCATCATTCCGATAATTATGACATCATTTAATAAACTCGGGAGTTTCTTTGAATAGTTCAGTATATAAAGAAAAGACAATCTTTTTATGGATGAAAAGTGTTCTACTGTTTTGAATTTTCTCATAATTATACTGATATCAGTTCAGATCAATATTTGAGAGATAAGTCTAAGTTACGTGACTAAAAGATTAAAACTAAGACAGTAGCAAACAGCAGACCTCGAACTTCGATCATACAAATTTATGGCATAAAATTACACAAGGTACCTCAGCTAACATACTTCAGTGAAGAAATGCGAAATTAAATTTGTAAGATTCAGAATACACGCAGACCTAGAAAAACTGTCAATCACATTACTTAAGATGACGAAATTCATCACTGTTCAACTGGATTTGTAGTAAACAAATAAAAAACCGTACTGGTGATAACTTCTGTGACCTTAAACTTACTCATGATTTATCCAATACATACGTGAATTAAGTTAATAAGCTAATTAAGGATGAGATTATCTGCAACGTGTCGACGTTCAGTAAATTTGTCTCAACTAACACTTTCAGACAGTTGTAGGATTTAATTTGTCCTACAGATGTACTTCTAGAACTTTAAACGCAATATTGGCGAGCACAGAGTCTATGGGAAAGGCATAGTCAGAACAAGACCAATTTTTCTTTAAACTTTATCTGTTTCTAAACATGAAAACAATTAAATTAGTACAATAAATAAGGAAATTACAATTATCAAGTAAAACGAGCAAACATACCGACCAATATAGCGTGTCTTATGGAAATGAATAAAGTTACGAGTCACATCGATATAATAAGATAATAATGTCCTTCGATTAGTAGGTCATTTACAACAAAGGAAGTTTACAGACACGTCAGATCACATCATGTGGTAGGCGCTTAAACAACAGCTTGATTGGTTAGTTATGACATAACTACAATTAGTTATGGAAATAACTAACACCATTAAGTGGATAAAGAGGTAATTTTATGCTGAATATTTCACTTTAATTTTTAACTTAGTTGTGTTTCTTATTCATCAGGTATATTGGACTGCTACACATTGGACATAATTTAACCTGGAGCTCTTTTACAGTTACTTCTGGTCGAAAAACCGGATATAAGAAGAAGGATGGGCATGTGGTTAAAAACCTCATCCCGTAGAAAACAACCTTGCTAAAAAAACCCATTAAAACTCTACAATAGGGGGTAAACTGTCTTTATTTATAAAAGTTATGAGATTTGATGGTGAAAGCCAGATTTATTCGGCAGATACGATGCCGATGCTATTTGAATAACAAGACCAACAATTAACATAGCTACACAGGATATCAGAACAATGAGGAATAACATTCTTACTATTCAAGTAGCTGATGAAATGCGAAGATACAAGCTGATAGTGCTTGGAACAAGTAAAACCTATTAAACGTAGGCTAGACAGAAAAGCTTAGTTTCGGTAAAGATGTTGTTATAATGCAGTTACAAAGAATAAAATGCCTCACATACACACAATGAGTTGCACTAATGCTGTTCATAGAAGCACAAAAAGCTTTGATAGGATGGGGATCATATGGACATAGGATCATCAAAGCACCGTTTAATACAGAGAACCATCCTGATGGGGGAGATCTAAACAACAAGGTTGGAATAGACAACACCGAATATTTAGATATTATGAGACGATATGGAGTGGGAGATGGGAACGAAAACAGTGAGACATTCGTTTTCGATGAAATGTTTATAGGTGGCACCATATTCCTGCACAAACACCTGACCACTGTACACAAAACCAAACTGGTCATCTCTGAATCAATGACGAGTTCAGAAGGTCCATGAAAGAAGTGAGATCAAAGAGAAGAGATGATCAGCACCAACCAATTCCAGATAGCTCTCAGAAGAAAAAATGGATCTATGTTGATACTCAGGGCCAAATTCAAGAGTGAAGGAACGAGAAGAGAGCAAACAATAACAGAAAATGCCAGAACAAACCGAATCAAGAAAGGAAGTGATGAGGAGCACTGGGATTGATAGGCAGACATTTGTGGAGGACTAACCAATGACGATGAAAAAAGCTCTAACAGAATAAAATACGAAACAACCATATGATACAACAAACAAGTTAGCAGGAAAATCAGTCAGTTAGGTAAAACGTAGAACTTTGTACGTACGTACATAAGTTTGTGTTGCCATACCACATTAGCACAGAGACGCATTTATCAGTTCAAATCCCATAGTAGTAGAGACAATAGAAGTACCAGCGGTAACGGAGAAGATCAGAGTTCAAAGATGTCATTCATGAAGTATAATTCAGTGAGATATATCTAGAAAGAGAAAGATAGGGGTGACGAGGAAAATATAGTAGACAAAAGTAACCAGTCAAGAACAATAGGGCTTAAACAATCACTTAGGTTTAAGAGCAGCGGAACAAGTGTGTAGATCAGATCCAAAGAACCTATCGGATATCAAAGCAGTACAAACACAGAGCTTTTTATACATTTTACTGTAACGACAGTCAAAGTAATCGGTACGGCCATCAGAAAAATGCAGAATGGCAAAGTAGGAGCAGATAACATACCAACTGATGTCAGACTTATAAGTGACCACTGAGATACTCCACGTTCTGTTCAACAAGATTTGAGAGGAAGAATCATCACTAACAGATTGGAAAGGGGAACATCTCGTCAAAATAAGCAAACAAGGAGATCTTAGTAAGTGTTAGTGATACAGAGATATCACACTGTTATCAGTACCAGAAAACATCTTCGACAGAATATTTTTGAACCGAATGAAGGATTCAGTAGACGCCCAACTTCGACATCAGCAGGCTCGATTTCGTAGAGATTGATCAGGTACTGAATAAATCTCCACACAAAGGACCATTGTTAAATAATCAATTAAGTGGGACTCATCACCATACATCAAGTTTCTCAAATACGAAAAGGTATTTTACGGTTTGGATTGGAGAACCCTATTCAACATTATTGTAGACCTAAGATTTTCGTAATCATACGGAATTCTTACGATAGACTACGCTAAAAATATTATTGGAAGCATACAGGTAGTTCAAAACAGTTGTCCACACAAGATACTCCAGATTCATTGACGAGACACCATCAGCAACAACTTACTGTGACAGAGAACAAACCAGCTTCCAGCTAAGGAAATTAGAACGCGCTGGAGGTGGATAGGTTACACTTTACATAAATAATCAAACTGCATCACACACCAAGCCTTAATTTGAAATTATTAAGGTCAAGTAGAGGCAGATCAACGAACATTTTGTGCCATGAATTGGAGGTAGACGTAGAAATAATGAATGATACTTGGGGACAATAGGAAAGGACAGAACAGAACAGCAGTTTGGAGATCGCTGATCTATGCTTTACGAGAAGTAACCGGTGTAATTAACGTTGAATATGTCCAGATTGTATAGTTGAGAGCAGTCAGAAGTCTATCAGTTATGAATATACAAAATGGACTAGTTGCACTGTATTTAGACGACCACTACTTCGAGTCAGTCTTATCTTAATGACCTATATATATTCAACTAACATTTTGTAATGCTGAAGTTACAGAGATCATCAACATGCAGCTTGGCACGGATGTAGCTTAGCGTGTCACCATACTAGGTGGCCATGATGAGATGAAAATAACAAAAGCGATTAAAATTATGTACTAGAAATACTGACACTCGGCTATTGTAATCCGACAACTAGCCTAAACATTCGGTGCCTGTCGTCGGAGCTTCTGGTCAATAATTAAGTTTCCATGCTACACCACTGTTATTACTCACTAAAATTACAACTATCAGTCGAGAATCGATAAGAACCTTATGTATATAACGCATATATAAAAAGTGATATGTAGAGTAACTCCTGATGTTGTCGGAGCACTAGTGAAAGCAGTAAAACTGAACAATCTAGCTCAGAGGATATGACAATATCAAAAGTGATGAAATGGTTATACACTAGCAAACAACTGGTTTGAAATAAACCAACGTTGAAAATCTTCTGATAGCCTCGTTATGTACCTTCGTAATACATTTTAGGTGATGAAACTCATAAGTTTATACAGCGAATACATTCATGTTTTGCTAGACAAGACCACGTATCTGCTTAACATTACCACTGAAGCATATACAGATGTTGACGACCTTAAGACGCTTGTTAAGTGAAAAAAAAATGGAATCAGACCAAATTTAAATCACAGAGATACTCGCCTAGTCACTGAGAGTCAGAAAAATAATTTTAATGAAGTTGGTTTTTAAAATAATAGATAGACCCCGAGATCTTTATATAAAGTAAATTTAGTTTGGGGTAAATAAATTTGTTTCATTTTTTTTGTGATCCTATTGGATTAAGGTTTAAGTTACCTCGGGGATAACTGAGTAAAGAATGGGGAGAGGTCACATTGATCCATTTGTTACTACCTCGATGTTGGCTTAGGGATCCTGGGTGGAGTAGAAGCTATCTTTGGTAGTCTGTTCGACTATTGAATCCTTTATGAGTTGAGTTAAGACCGGTGTAAGCCAGGTCGGTTCTTATCTATATGTGATTTTATTCAGTACGAAAGGAGAGATAAAATGCAGTTTTACTGTAGTTGTAATAAGTTGAGGTATATCATTGAATATTTTGCAAAAATATTTTAAAGCAGTAGTTTTGCTTGTATTCCGATACATTTTTATGAACAGTAGTTTGTAGATCAAAAGCCGATTGCTTGGACTGATTAAAGCAAATTAAGAAGATTATAAGGACTCGTTAAGATATATTTATTGGGTATTTTTGCTCTTTGATTCTTTGAAAGGAATATCTGAAGGTCCATACTAAGCAAAGACGTTAAGTAAAAGGGGTATGTTTACCTTATCCCATAAAGTCTTAAGGTCCCTCTTCATAGCGTACGCATCCTCACCATCAGCATAATATTTAGGTTCTATATCTGACACTCTGGAAAGATTGATCAAATAAAAAGTACGACTTACACGAAGTGTAGCGTTTTTTTGTAGAGAGCAAGTGCAGCCCTATTACTTTTCCGAACATGAAGAGAGACATATCTTGCATGGAAATTTTCTACCATAGCTCTTAATGCCAGATTCATCAGCGTTTGAGCAATCCCTAATCGTCTATACGATCGCTTAACAGCCAACGAAGTAATATGTCCATAAGGGACGTCTTCTGGATCTTCTTCCCTAACCAAAGTTATTGCATAACCATATCTTACATTTTTGCTAGGACATAGCCAACAATCTCCCCACTATCTGTTTCTGCTACATATGATAGTTGCGGCCAAGACAAACCATGATAGAAATAGTACTTCATTTGATAATTCTCTGGCAAGCAATCTAGATTGCAATCTCTCATGTTTAATAAATCAGTTGGCTAAAGAAGAGATATAATCGAAATTATGGCCTACTCTAGCATTCCTGACATTCATGTTTACGAAGGAACGTGACCTCCAAATCAAAAACAGCGGACAATCTGCAACCTTGAGATTGTCTTCAACCAGTGTTCGTTGCATGAAGCGGTGATAGTTTTTTGACTTCCGAAAGAACATCGAATTATCTTTAATTTTAAGAAAGGAGGCTATGCAAAAGCACCTCGAGTGGTTTTCAATATAAATATCATTTTCACGAGCTAGTATAAACCAATTGATTCGAGTCCTTTTAAGACGACTGTTCCGGGTATTTGGTAGCGTTTAGCGGATGGTATTCCAGCAACTTGACTGCTCTAAATTTAGTTAGTTGACAGTTATTGATTAGTTTGTATGTCCCGTGGCTGAGTTTGTTTCAGGTCTGTACGTTTTGTAGCAGCTATCACATTACCAGGCCGGGAACCAGTTAGTTACAATAGTGGGAGAAAATTCTAGTCCTAATGAGAAGACGTTTTCAAAACTAAGTAAATAGATAAAATATGTCAATTAATAGGTAGTGATGATAGCAAGAGAGGACGGAAGTGTAAGCAGAGCGTAGGAAACAGAGATAATAAGCGAAAGAGTATAAGTTGGTGATTTGAGGAAATCACTGTGATAACATCTAGTAAGTTTCGAGACATGCTTCGGGAACAGATGGTCCAAGAGTGAGATGTTTGGAAGTAGGTGTTTATCAAGTCTATTCTTTAAGCTGTCCACTGATAGGGTTGTGGTCACCTCGGCTGGGAGGGCATTCTAAGTTATGACAAGTGTTCATGAGGAAAAAATATGAAAGGACATAGGTGTTCGCTCTTCGGATTACCTTTCGGAGCGTGGTGGTGATGCTTAGGCAAGATGTTCATGTGGGCGTGTTTCGGGGTGCCTAATTTGTTATACGCCATTATCATATCACCTCTGCTTCTCCTGTAACTCAGAGAGAATAATCTCAAGTGCTGTAGTCTTTATCCTTCAACCCCACCATCCATTTAGTTGCTATTTTCTGTGCTAGATGCAAGAGATTTATATCTCTTTTATGGAGAGGGGGTGCGATGACGTAAACTTCAAGGTGCATATTCTGAATAAAGTTAAAAACTGTTTTGAGGTGACTGCGGCCAGTTGTCTTCATATAATCGAAAAATTGAGTTAGCCTTTAGGCTGCGAACCTATATTCTTTGAACTGATGTTAAACCTTTCGGTGGTTTTAAGATCTAGATCACGCAACGTGGAGACATTATGGATGAACTTCCACTGAGGATGTAATTTGTTTCAGTCACGTTAAGCAGCATGTCCATAATGTGACACTTTGACTGGCTGAGTTTCAATACGTTTTCTTCTGCCTATTCCTCAAATGATGTGAAGTCCTTTTGAAGCTCAATTTCAAGACTAAAGGGTTTATATCATCATATCATGGTGGCTCTTCTGGGGGCAGAGATTTTGGTTTTCTTAGTTTTAAGTCGGGAGTAAGTCGGTTATTCCCTAGGTCATCAGCTGGCACTGAGAGTAGTACTCTGAACTTGTAGGTACCTGGTTCAACTGATCGGTGTGGTTACTGATAAATATCTCAGCCATTTCTAAATTGGTAAGACCTTCGCCATTTGAACCTTTGAGATCGCAAACATCCTGATTTGTAGCTTTTCTTTTAGTCATGAACCTAAAATGATATTTTGGTGTTGTTTGCATTTTGACATCTGGAAGTGTCACCTATCACTTTAGACCTTGACAGTGGATCTATTTTTCAATAACAAGTAAGAACTGCGGTCGAAATGTTTCAGGCAGAACTGTAGCTTGCGCCAGGCTCTCCTTTTCGTCTGTAGCAAGCGTTCAAAGCCTCTCTTAACCCAAGTTCTCTTTTCACATGTGTGGTTTACCTGAGGTATACTGTGTAGGACAGCATTCCGAATGATGTCTCTAACTGTTTGCCAGTGATCAACTACTATTAGCCTTAACCATTCCATTCATTTGTTAACAAATAATCCAAGTCCGGAACTTTCGATGGTTGTACCAAGTAGCCTTTGAAACCAGCCTGTGGGAGTTGTACCCTATTTGCTGATATTTGGAGATGGAGTTTTGAAATCTCCCTCTAAGCGTAGCTGGCTCTCGCAACATTTCATACAGCTAGAGATCGTTCTTCATGCTGTACCAAGCCTGAAGCAGTTCACTTAGGTCTTGCCGACCAGAAGTGAAGATTTAACAGTCATACGGTGAGACGGACGAGTCAGCCCGGGACGAAAAGCTTCCATGTTTGTGTGAAGGCCCACGTGGGGTGATAGCCATCGTCATTGTAGCGCGTCATGTGCGTCAGCCTCAACTAAGCTACTGTTCATCAGTTCAGGCAACCACCACGCTGGTTGGTTCTTTTGAAAGTTCTGGCAACTGATCGTACTTACTACGGTGCGTCTTTCCTGTCTGTGATCGGGGAGGAGTCTAAATGAGGGTATCAGAGATGTCAGTAGGATTTCTCCGGCAACTTGTACTGAATCTAAAGTTACCCTAAACGCAGGGGTTTTCCCCTCAATAGATGGCATAGTTCGGCCGAGGTATTGCTCATTCCAAGGATTGTGCAGTACTTATCTCACTGTTCATCATCAAAGACAGCCCAACTTTCCAGTAAGCTACCTCCTGCCCCTGGAATATTAAATAAAACTAGTGAGTTTTGTCTAACGCGTTTTTGGAGCCATGGTTCTACTGTCCCCCTTATAACACACACTCTGTTCCATACTGTTAACAGATTCTAGGGATTTTGCAACAACCAGAGGTATAGTTGGTGTACTGGTTCAGGTTACGGACACCTTCGTAACTCCGCCAGTAGAACCTTCGGGTCTACTGCCGGTCCCAAGCCCGGGTAAAGGAGGAGGGTCGGACATGGGGTTGGCGACCCCATTCCGTCAAAAACTAACTTGCCAAAAGAACGCTAACCAGAAAACCAATTCAAACCATTTTAACTCTGCCCTGGGAGTTGGAAGAACAATTATGACGTCGCGGGATGAAAGCCGAGTTCCCTCGGAAGTCACGGGGCCGATGCCTCTTCTGACAACCAGAGCAACCATTTTTTTAGGTACATGGAACGATCGTACATTGTGGGAGACTGGAAGACTATTTCAAGTTGCGGAAGAAATGAAGAGTTACAACCTGGATGTGCTCGGCATCTGCGAAACGCATTGGACACAGGTAGGACAACTGATACTATCTTCAGGGGAACTGATGTTATACTCTGATCATGAAGAGGAAAATGCTTCACATACACAAAGAGTTGCACTGATGCTGTCCAAACATGTACAAAAGGCACCGATAGGATGGGAATCTCATGGACTCAGGATCATTAAAGCATCCTTCAAAACAAAGAAAGAGGACATTACAATGAACGTCATCCAATGTTACGCACCTACCAATGAATACAATGAAGACGTTAAAGATCAATTCTACGAAAGGCTGCAGTCAATCGTCGTGAAATGTTTACCAAAGGATTTGACGATTCTTATGGGAGACCTGACTGTCAAGGTTGGAATGGACAACACTGGATATGAAGACATAATGGGACGACATGGACTGGGAGAAAGAAACGAAAATGGTGAGAGATTTGCAAACCTATGTGCCTTCAACGAACTGGTCATCGGTGGCACGATATTCCCGCACAAACGCATTCACAAAGCCACATGGATTTCACCGGACCACATTACTCAAAACCAGATTGATCATATCTGTATCGACTAAAGGTTCAGAAGGACCATGAAGGACGTGAGAACCAAGAGAGGAGCTGATATAGCCTCAGATCACCATTTGCTGGTCGCCAAAATGAAACTGAAGCTAAAGAAGCACTGGACAACGGGGCAGATAACATCACACAAGTTTAATACAGCCTTTCTTCGGGATAATTTAAAGCTCAACGAATTCAAGATAGCCCTCACCAATAGGTTCCAGGCCTTGCACGATAAACTCAATGGAGAGGACAAAACATTGGAGAACAATTGTAAAAGAATCAAGCAGTCAACATGTCACGAAGTTCTGGGTCACAAGAAGTACCATCACAAGGAATGGATCTCTGTTGGTACTCTTGCGAAAATTGGAGAAAGGAGGAACAAGAAGGCAGCAATCAATGTCAGCCGAACAAGAGGAGAAAAAGTTATCGCACAAGCTGCATACACAAAAGCAAACAGAGAAGTGAAGAAGAGCATCAGAGCTGACAAGCGAAAATATTTGGAAGATCTAGCAACAACGCAGGAAAAGCTGCAAGAGAAGAAAACTTGAGACAGTTGTACGATACAATAAAGAAGCTCGCCGGAAACTATCGTAAACCAGAACGACCAGTGAAAAGCAAGGAAGGGAAAGTAATCAACAACACTGAAGAACAGCGAAATAGGTGGGTAGAGCACTTCAAGGAACTCCTGAATCGACCAGCCCCACTGAACACACCCAACATCGAAGCAGCATCCACGGATCTCCCAATTATTATTGGCGCACCTACGACTGAGGAGATCAGTATGGCCATCAGACAAATCAATAACGGCAAAGCAGCAGGATCAGACAACATTCCAACAGAGGCAATGAAAGCGGCCGTGGAAGCAACTGCGGAAATATTTTACATCCTCTTCAAGAAGATTTGGGATGAGGAACAAGTACCATCAGATTGGAAAGAAGGATACCTCATTAAATACCAAAGAAAGGCGATCTCAGCAAGTGTGAGAACTACAGAGGCATCACTCTTCTTTCAATACCAGGCAAAATCTTCAACAGGGTATTGTTAAACAGAATGAAGGACTTCGTAGACGCCCAACTTCGAGATCAACAGGCCGGATTTCGTAAGGATCGATCGTGTACTGACCGAATGGCTACATTAAGGATCATTGTGGAACAATCAATTCAATGGAACTCACCACTCTACATCAACTTCATCGACTACGAGAAAGCATTCGATAGCGTGGACAGGAAAACACTGTGGAGGCTTCTTCGACACTACGGTGTGCCTGAGAAAATAGTTAACATCATACGGAATTCTTATGATGGATTCAACTGCAAAATCGTGCACAGAGGACAGCTAACAGACTCTTTTGAGGTGAAGACCGGTGTCAGGCAAG